ATATTCTGAAGAACATCGGTGCTGATTATCGTATGAAGAAGCGTTTTCTTCATTATCAGGTATGCCTCGTCTCAAGGACTGCAGTTGCTATAAATTTGATAGCTAACAGCGATTCCCCAGATTTACATTGCGCTTCTCAAGTTCGATTTCTTCTTCTTCCTGGGTTTCATTATTCAGTTCGTCGTCGTTGTCGCTCAAAAATCTGATCCGGAGTTTGCCTTGACGATTGCCACCATTCCAATTACCATTGTCATTCTCCTTGCCGCGGCATACTTTACCCGCCGAGAGAACAAGCCCGGCATGGTTTGTGTCATGATTTTGTTTCTGGGTGGTTCATCGTACTTCGTCTTCAAGCTTGTTCGCATCTACCAACCCAGTCACAAAGATTCCTACTTTGCCGTCCGCAAATCGCTTACAGCATTTGCCGTCATCACCATATTATTGATCATCCTGACGATTACGAACGCCATCATTTGCATGAGCAATTTCAACAAGGGACTCAAGGCTCACCTGCTGGCTCCGCGAAGGGTTGAAGAAAAGCCAGATGCCACCTCAATCAGCCTCCACGATGTCAAGCCACAGGTACCAAGCCGCATGACCATTGACTAGATACCCTCGTCAAAGAAGAAGCAGATGTGGCCAAAAAAAAAACAAAATTGAAAACACTATAAAAAAGTTTGGATACCCCTGGAAAGTAAATTGGCGGGTCTGTACAAAGCTACGAGTTACGAGCACCCGAAAACAAAAGATCATCTGTCGTAAAGCTCGTATATCGTGGGGCTGGCTTCACGATGGCAGCGACCACTGTCGTATGTGCGCATTTCATGAGGCGCCAAGCGACCGATCATGTCTTTTTGATCGAAACAACTCGAGGATATTTGTTTTTCATTTCCTTTTCTTTTGTCTTTCCTTGACCTCTCATTGAATATTGGCGTCGGCTGTGGGAGACAGACACCAGTGCCTTTTCCAGAATTTAGCAACGGGGAGTTACAGGATACCACGTGCCGAGAGTGAGTGAAGCATTATTTACATTATCGATGTTTTCTGGGGGCCAGTTCCAGTCAGAAATACGCCCCAAGTTGGGTTCCGATCTGGGGGACTGATGGTCTAGCATCATCAGCAATTTTCTCACCAAAAGGTTGGATAGGATTGGTTGGAATTCGGGTGGATAGGGATTTGATAGACGATTTCCTTGGAACTCTCCTTGACAGCCTTTGGCTGTACTTTCACGAATATAAGGACTAAACATTAAATTTACATAATAGAGAATCAATCAGACCATTAAAGATGTGGAAAAGAAGGCGCGAATAAGGGCCAAGCCAAAGTAAAGCACCAAAAATACAGCTAAACAAGCACCTAAGGCACCTGTCAGCTGCCTTTTTAAATGCCTTAAGTGCCTGTTAAGATACATTTGTGGTGCTTTTTTTTTGGCTCTGCCCTTATTTCCGCCTTCTTTCTATATCTTTAATGGCCTGGTTAATTCTTCCGGATTCCTTCCCTTAAGCTGGCCTCTTTTTTACTGTAAAGGGCATCGCTGTTAATACCGGCCGCGGTATCTTTTTTGCCCTCTGCATCTCGCCAGCTTTAATTCCTGAAGCTTACAAAAGGCAACTTACTTGTGTTGGCCATCGTCTTTCGCGTCATGGTCAAATTGCTGTTCGATTTGACTGCTGTGGCTAATATCAGCAAGTTGCAGTGCTTCAGGTAGCGTTACAGTGGCGAGGACTCACGAGTGGTTGCGTTATGTCTTTATAGTAGAAGAGATAAAAGTCCAAGAGAGAAATAAATAGGATGCACTCTTGGAATGCGGACGAGACCTCCATAATATATAATATGTCTGCCCATTTCAAGTTTTAGAGTGAATCACTGGCATAAAGTATATACAGGTTCACGTTTACTTCCATACAGTCAGTGGCGGAGGCTATCGCGAGATCACTTGACTTAGCGTGTCTGACGCATGATGCGCAGACGGTGTATTCTTTGGTCTTTTACCGTTTTTCAGCTTAGCACAGCCCAGCACTACCTCCCTAGGTATGTTTCCAGATATCATGCTCACACGATACTTGTGCCATGATTGCATCATCATTTGTCATGAAAATAAAACAATAACACTTGACATAATATCACCTGCTTAAAACGAGGACAAAATGTGGCGCGACTCTGCAAATCATATGCTATATCTACTTGTGATTCCTCGTGTATTCTGAAGACTGGCTGAAACAAGCTCGTAACACTGGGGTAATTGATAAAGAAAGAGCACCACACGGAGCCAACCAAGAGAACATGAAACAATACCGACAGCCGACGTGGTCCAGGTCGTGATTGAAAGGGCAAAAAAGAAACAAAAGAAAAAGAAAAAACTGTGTCGCTACCGCCCATTCCAAAACGCCAAATTGATGATATGCCTCCTGCATGCGACCCATGAACCAAAAAGAAAAATATGGCTACAACGTAATCTTGATAGCATCACGTAGGTGCCCTTCTGTAGGACAATAAGGGCATTTGTAGCGTGACCCTTTCGCCGCGATGTTGTGCAAGCTCTCTTTGCAAATGACGTGGCCGCAGGGGAGCATCATAGGCGGATTCTGCTCGGTGGTCTGCTCCTTGCTGACGGGACAGACGAAGATGGGGTGGTAGATCATGGATGGCGGAAGGGGCGTTTCAAAGGCGAGTTCGTTTTCGGTCGTCCATTCCGTCTTCTTCTCCTTCATATAGGTTGTGTATTTGATGAGGCGGGGCAGAGCAATGGATCCCGCCGTGACGGCCATGTAGAGCGGCGATTCGGCGGAGAGGCCCAGCAGGGAGCAGAATTCGCGCGTGAAGGAGGTGGCGACATCTTCAAAGGCGGAGTCGATTTCGAAAATTTGGCGGTAGGGGGATTCTTCGAGATTCGGCGCATACACCATGGCGCAGGAGAGTTGTTGGATATCCTTTATGTGGCGGGATTGAAAACGGCCAAAGTGCTGGCGGGCGTATGCGAGAGCTCCCATCCGGCCGTTGCTGACGTCGTCGGGGAGACCGTTGACTGAAGGACCCTTGAAGAGCCATACGAATTGGAGTTTGCTGAGTTCGAATTCGAGGTTGCTGCCCCTTGTTTCCAGCTTGGGGTTGTTGATGCGCGCCCATTCTATGGCTGGGACAAGATTACGCTCCTTGAGCTGTGCGAGAATACGGTACATCTCGGAGAATTTATCCTGCAAATCTTCGGAGTGCAGTCCTTGCATGTCCTCGTCCCCGTCGTCATCCCTCTTCATGTCATCATCGCCATCCTCGTCGATTCTTGACCTCTTGCTGTGGGATAAAACAGAGGTGTGATTTTGTTCGCGGAGATTTTGTTCTTCTTGGAGGAAAGTTGACGCTACAGAGAACTGACCCTCTCGTAAAAGGTGCATCGCTATGGCTCGGTTGATGAGTTCGGGATGGTCGGCCATGGCATCTGTCTCCATGGGAAGCTCTCGATGCGGAAGAGCCTGGAACATCAGTTAATCTCAATGTGCATATTATAAGGAAGATGTTATCGGCTTAAGGTGACAAGGCCGGTAGAACTCTAGGAGAACTCACCCTGTCCAGCGCCTTGCCAAAGCTTCTCTGAGCCTTGGTCACATCTTTTAAGTCCTCGGTAATGGCCTCAAACCGAGCCTTGACTGGATTTTGCAACGTCGTCATGGCCATGCCAATCTTGTGAGAATCATCATCTGTCGGCAGGGTTAGTCGTGTCTGTGCACCATGAGATGCTGGGCGACTGAAGCAGCGGGTTCAGGTCTCGTACCACCAGCCACTTGCTCCCGTGCTGCCGTGAGTAAATCAATTATCGAGTCGACATCGTTTATAGCTGCATTTAGATTAGACTTGCGCATGCGAGCCAGTTCTGCCAACAGCGGCCCAAAGGGCGACGAAGGCGTGTCATCCTCCGCTCCAGCCATAGCTGCTAGTCTGAGAGCTTGATGGCGAGTGCAGGCGACGGTGGGAAAGCGAAGGTCGTGGAGTCGATGTTTGTCAAGATATCGCGCCGGCAACGCTTTTTCCCGGGGGGTTGCCTGCCCGTTACGCAAGCGGAGGAAGCGTTGTCGTGGATGGAGCTCGCTGGTTGTCTCTCGGTTGGGGATTGACGTCGATGATGGTCACGCTTGCTCGGACGGCTTTCGGGGGACGGCTTATCGATAGGCTTGGGATGTGGACGCAGACAACTGTTGGACCCGCAGCTCAACGACAGCCGAATGCTTGGATCAATCTTCATATCACCACGAGGCTTCACGACGTAGATATATAAGCAGCGGGCGTCAGTCCGTAGTACCACTATTCTACATGAGAATGGGACCGTGGTCCATCTGGCTCTTCACATTTGTGACTGAAGACTTGATGAGGGGCACTGCCAGTGTGCAAGCTGGGCCCATCAGGTGCTCTTGGGCGCTCAAGTACCACACACCCCGTTTGGCACTTCACCGTACTCCTTGAGGCTCTCAACGTTGAATTTTTATGCTTTCAGAGACTTCTGTGCATATCCCGCGGTGCCTTCCGGTGCTGTCTTTGGCCGGACTCAACATTGAAGCCAACTTGATATTTAAAATCTACGGATCACGGAGGACTGAGGACTCGCTGTTGCGCTGGAATGCATTGCCATGCAACGTCTGGTTGAAGCTGCACAGCCCCGCTGCAGGCCGCAGCGCCAATCATTGTCCCCACCGTCCCTTGTCTTGTCCCTTGTCTCGGAAAGCTTTCAGCTCCCACGCTCGGATTGATTCCCGCTCAACCGCTCAACGACTCGGCCACTCTACCAACTAACTGCATCACATGCCATCCCACACACTGACCGTCATCTGTCCCCAAGCTGTCCAGCCCAACCTGCTGATGCAGCGCGACTACCGAACTCGCCCAATGTCAAGAACCTAGGTGCCGCCTGTCGGCCTCGCCCACCTGGGCGTACCTCGGGAAGTCCTCGTGCTCGAACTGCAGCAGAACCGTTGGTCATAGACGGGTTGACGAGTTGACAGTCACACCAGATGACATCACCCATAGGCTTCCTATCGCCCTTGCCCCTGGAGGGAGGACGCTTTCGACGAGATGATGACTTTTCCTCTCCTCCCTCCAGGGACGCAACGCCTCACAATACCCAAGAAAGCCCCATGGAAAGAACAATTATTTCGCAAGATCTAGCCCCAGTTCAGACGCGAGACGGCCTGTCATCCACTCTCCAAGGCCCTCAGGTACCTCAACGACGCTTGGTGCTGCCTGACCCTTTGGCTTGCCGGTAACATATATATCTGAAACTGCATTGTATGCTGTCTGTCGACAACAATTTGTGCTGATATATCATCTCATTTCTCAGGTTCATTGAAGAAGACCCGTGCGTATCTGTTATCGAACAACGATGCATTCTTGGTGGCTATGAGTTATACGTGGTTGAACAGTGGGCATGCTCCCGCCAATCACCGACCGTAGTCATCACAACCTACACTGGAGACGAGAAACACTGTATAGTAGTTGGCATTGTCTCCATCCCAGAAGATCAAAATCTTTGGTCTCCTAGGCTACGCTTATACTTCAAAGCCGCCAATCAACACAATTCGCGCCCCAAGGAGACGGGCCTGGGAGAGTTGATGATTACGAACTTGAGCAGCTTCCCCTCAGCTCTCACCGTAATTCCGGTCCCGGATGGAGACGTGCGGAAGCATCGTCAAGTCTTCTTTGTAAACGAAAATCTCAAACGATTGGGGTGCTCAGGCCGCTCCGGTTTGGCACTGACAGACCCAACTGAAGCAACACAGGCCAAGTTTCACCAGCTCTACAAGACAAGCGACCGTATTCCTATTCTACAGTCTGTCGTCGAACTCATCAAGCTATGTCAGATTGCGCTGTACATGTTTGAGAAGCTGGACCACCAATACATTGACGGGTTACTATGCGATGCTACGGAGAAAGCAATCAACAACTGGTGGACAGAAGTTGGTGCCGAGCACTACAACTTTGAGCCTACTGACGGAATCCTTGGTCCCTGTACCGTATCAGCATTACTGGGCATGTTGATGGGGGCAAGGAATCGACTGCACTGGTACGGCGCACCAGTTTCCAAGGATGTATTCGAGATTGAGTGCACAAAGAGAGGCGTGGCTTACTTTCAGAAGCAACAAAAATTGGAAAAAACACGCCGCCTTGACCGACAAACAGTGTTCCGTTTGCATACAGCGACTGCCAAAGGTGCCGCTGCTGAGGGATGGGGAGTGCAGAAAGCGGTCAAATCTACCGTAACTGAAATTGGAGGCAAGAGGGGTGAACTTGTCATAGACATGGTCTCGGGCAAAGACAAGGGTGGTCTGGCGGACATCGAAACGGTGGACATTGACAGATTCGTCAGCTTGGTCTATGGAGATCGACCAAGATGGCTTTGGCATGGCAAGACTCGAAGGTCTGTCGCTGATTCCTTTGGTAGCGGCGATCCAGAGCTCGGCAGCATGTTTTCTTCTGGGAAAAGTGAGGCTTCTGATGCTATGCCAAAGCGGACACACGCTTTGCTGCTCGACGAGGAGTTGGGGGGTCGGCGTAAAGAAGACAATAGTGCAGCGTCTTATCCCACCTATTCACCCAGCTCCGTCAGCAACATTGCAGATGCGTCAGGCGAGAGAGATACTCTCCGCAGGGGAGTCTTTAAAAGCGTGGCGGATAAAATGAGCGATGCCCGCTCTGGTCTTGGTCGCATAAAAGACGCCGTGGGTGGCAACCGAAAAGGCCATGCAAGCAAGTTGTCCGTGTCTGCAAAAGAAGATTTCTCAGATGGAGGAAACGGAAGCGCCTTGCTGCCGTCAGCTTCACAAACCTCGGTCACGACACCTAATCCCCCTATTGCCCGCGCATTCACTTGGAAGAACAAACCAGAGGAGTATCTTGCAGCCATCAGGCGAGGTGATGACGTGCTGCCCAGTCAGAATGATGATGCGCAATACCCAGGAACATCAGCAAGGGATGTAAAACCTGACGAGAAGTCTGGTGACGAGCTCTTGGCCGCCGGGGAGTCGGACAACAACCTTAGTCGCATCGGTTCCGAGATTCGCAAAGGCGTCAGTCACAAGGGATTTTCACCCGCACCGTCTGTTAAGGACGACAATAATCTCCGAGGACCTTTGTTAGAGAAGGAACAAAAGCCGTGCCGCAAGCAAATTTCCGTTGCAAGGCGTCGCAGTTGCGGAATTGCTGACCTGACCACGAAGCACATCACAAATGAGAGCCGTTGGCCGCGCCGGATGTCCTTCAGTGACGCGGAAGAGGCCATTTTAACATGGGAGGAAGTCATTGACTTGACTGAGACGATGGACTACCTCACTTGCGTCGAAGCTCATGCAGAAGCCGCCAGTCATCTGAATCATCTTATTGAAGAAATTGTTAGCGATGTCGGGCCCTGGGTCGAGGACAAGATTAGAGCAGTAGAGTTCCTCAACGAGCGATACGGTCAGGACAAAACTGAGCTACAACGCATATATCATCGGCTCAACGAGGCCTGTCAACGAATTCACTACAACTCGGACGAGCTCCTAAGTGAGCAGCGCGAAAATCTCACCGAAAGCGTCAAGGAAATTGAAGTGCTCCTGGCGCGTCTGGAATACGAAATCAACGGCCTGTCCCAAAAAGTTGCCGATGTTGAAGACAGCATTCAGAATTTTGAGCGGCAAGTAGATGACGTGGAGAGTAGAGCAGCAGAGTTGAAGGCGACGCTTGAGACAGAAAGCTGGCCTCACTGGTTTGTTCGCACACTTACGGGGATAGGGACTGGACCCAACATCACACGGGAGCCGTAATGGTTTTTCACCATGCAGCAATATCTTGTCGCATCACTTTCTTCTTTTTTTAAGCAAGGCGCAGATTTTGTCTTTTTTTCTTCTTTTTTTTTCAAGCAAAGCATATCGAAAGATACAAGGCGTTTGTCGAATTTCAAGATGGATACCATTGTTGTTGGTGGGGAGATGAAGTCCCAAATCATGATAGTTTATATAGATAGCATCGAGTAATTTACAAATCGTTTTATCGCGATGCCCATCCGCATCAAGTATCCCAACCGTCTATACTCGTACACTAGCCTCCGCTCCGGACCGAGCTCAAATCCCTCCCTCCCAACGTCACCCCCGTATCCGCCTCCTATCCAGTGAATCCTCCCTCATCTCGACCCCGGAGAGCGCCCCTCTCCTCCAAACAGCTTAGAACAAACCCCCGCTGGCCTGGGGCGCGCCGCCCATGGCCTGGCCCTGCTGCTGCATAATCTCACTGACCTTCATCGACGTATCCAGGAACTTGGCCGTACAGCGGTCCAGGCACACCGACTCGCCCTTGTTCAGCTCGCCCTCGCGGTAGTCGGTGGGGATACACTTTTTCTGGCAAGTCTTTTGAAGACTGGATTTCACCCCCGTCAGCATTAAACCTTCAGTTCAAGTTTTGGGGGGGGGGGGGGGGGGCGGGAGCAACGGTTTTCGTACCGGTTGTATGTGTCTGCCATCATGCGCATCTCGCCTTCTACGGCGGCAATCTTCTGCTCCGAGGTGGGCTGCTGGCGTCCGATGCCGAGGAAGGACATGTTGGCGGTGGCCGGGGTGCGTGTGAGGGTGGGGGCGGGTGTTTTTGTTTGTCTTTTTTGTCGTTGAGGAAGGAGGGATGGTGGTTGGGACGTTGTATCTGTGTTGATGGGGGGATGCTGGGCTTGACGTAGCCTCGGGGGGATAAATTTTAGGGTGGTGATGGAGTGCTTACGTTATGATGGATGCTTATCGATAAGAAAGAAGGGAGTAGGGGGCCTTGGTGAGTTGGTTACCCGGTAGGACTGGTGGTTGGGATTCTGCATGGATGGATGGAGATTTGGTATTAATTAATGTTTGATTGTTTCGCTCTGTAGTCAAATGAAATTACACGCATGATACAAGTATCGTGTAAGCGTAAAAACTAAAACAGTATTGGGCTATACCAGGCCAAGGACAGTAGGAGACTAGAAAAGAAGCCCGTCTCAGCGCAATTGGTGCCGCGCCGCGGAGATTTGGTATTGAAAATATTAATGGACATGAGACCTGGAATAAATTTTATCTATCCTTTTCCAAAAGTTTTTATTTGATTATATGGCATTGTTCTATTACGCGTGACATCATGTGGTTTCAGTCGTCTTGATTGTGTCTGTCAAGTATTCTCTACTAGTACTCCCGATCAGGACTAGTGCCTGCCTACTTCTCAAAAGTAACATTCTTGGTCCTCGTCCACTCAGCCAGTCCTATTGAGCCGTTGAATCGTCCATAACCACTTGCCTTGGTGCCGCCATGAGGTAATGAGGTCTCATCATGAACACTCATGCTGTTGATATGGACTGCACCAGTCTCCAGTTCCGCGGCGAAACGCAGCCCTCTTCTTAGGTCTTCTGTGAAAATGGCGGACGTCAGCCCATACTCTGTGTCGTTGGCGATACGGATGGCTTCTTCCTCGGATTCAATCTCGATTACTGAAACGGTAGGTCCGAAAGATTCCGTCTTGTAAATGTCCATCTCGGAAGTGACGCCGCTCAGGATGACGGGTCGCAGCCTGTTGTGACTAATTTCCTGAGCGTGGATGTCGCCGTACAAGACGCTTGCTCCGCGCTCAGTGGCATTAGAAACGAGCTGCTTGTTCTTTTGGGCCGCGGCGGTGTTGATGAGAATGGGCGCATCTCCATCAACAGGGAACATATTCGCAACTGCAGCGGCGAATTTCTGCTGGAAAGCATCGCTTACGGCCTTGTGCACCAAGATTCTCTCTGTGCTCATGCAAATTTGGCCGCTGTGCAAGAATGAGCCCGTTGCGCATTGTTTGGCAGCTAGATCCAAATCTGCGTCTTCCCAGACTATGGCTGGAGCTTTGCCGCCGAGTTCCAAGACTACTGGCTTAAGATGCTCCCCGGCCAGCTTTGCAATGATTCGACCGACGTTAGTACTGCCCGTGAAGTTGATCTTCTTGACATGCGGATTGGTTATCAAGGAAGATGTAACGGCCGCCGCGTCGGCGGGTGCGTGAGCAATCATATTCAACACACCATTAGGAAGCCCAGCTTGATGAAACACATCTACAATCGCCCGCAAGGTTTTGGGGCATAGCTCGGATGCCTTGAAGACTACAGTGTTTCCCATAGCGATTGGATATGCAATCGATCTGGTGCCAAGGATATACGGGGCGTTCCTGTGCTGAAATGTGAGTGATTCATCTTGGGGAAGTGCGTCTAGGGTACTGGATCTCTTACCATGGTGCAATGGATAACACGACACCATAAGGCTCGTGCATGACAATTGCACTTCTGTTGCGGTCAACTGTTGGCGGAAACGAGCCTTCCATAGTTGGGATGCGGCCGGCGATGTCTTTGAGGAGGTCGATTGTTCTGCTGATGTTGAAGTCGACCCAGCCTCGCGTAGCTCCAGTTTCGTCAGTCATATGCTTGATAAGATCGTCGCGACGGCCCTCCATAACTTCGGCGGCTTTGAGAAAGATGGCTTGTCGCTCATAGGGCGTTGTTTTACGCCATGACTTGAGAGCGTCGGCCGCGGCATCGACAGCTCTTGCGGCATCTGCTACGGAAGCAGCACCGCATTTGTGGATGACCTGGTCCGTAGATGGAGATTTGACGTCGAAGGTCTTGTCTGGGAAGTAGTCTTGGCCATTGATGACGAGCGGCAAAACACCAGCAGTCGCCATGACGTCTGGTTGTTGAAGTTGTATAGAATAAGAAGACAAGTTGCGTGACACTTGGCTATGCAGTTGAATATGCAGTTCCTGGAATGCGTCACCGTTTGCGGGCTTGGAGAAGCGCAACGAACGAACGATTTCTAGAGGTCGGCACGGCAAATGTCATGTTTTAATGCTCCCGGCGCCATTTAAATGATTCAGGCCTCATCAGGGGGATCGGCAGTTGCGGGTTGCAGGGCCCCGCATTATTCCAAGCTGGAGGTTCAATCCATCAATTGTGAACTGAATAAGCAATAAGATATAGTATGGCCGAGCACAGATCCGAGGAGACTTCGGATCGATTCCGACGACCCCCACCGCCAATAACAAGAGCTTCCGAAAACTTGGGTGGGCTTGATGGACGGAGTTAGGGAATATGGTGCTGACTATTAATCCGTTCAGTCTTTTTTGAGAGCCACGAGACTACATCCCGAGCATACCGCGAGCTGGAGGTGATGGATGACTGATGGGATATCGGCGCCCACTTGCATTATTCATAAGCTCACGAGACTCAAGCTCAAAGGGGCCCAGCCGCCAATTTTCACCCGAAACGCTGCAGAGCGTCGGGTTCCAGTAACGGCTGGGAGACAGCACAAGTGTTGATACGAACCGTTTCTGCATCTACGGTGAGCCGACTGGCAGATCTTTGTTTATGAGAGCTGAGCTTACCAACTTGTGGTTGATCTGCTGGAAGGGCAAACTGCACCTCCGATTTGGATCTCGAGGACTCAACATAAGTCGAAGGCAGGGGGGCTGGTTTCAAAGTCCTCTTCTGTGGCGGACGAGAAGACTTGACTTCGACCATTGTGTTGAAGAAATGGCCGCGTATTCTCTGGTATATGGAGTATTAAGATGTGGTTGCGAGACACGGCACCAAGACACACTTTATTATTGACTGAGCAGATGGGGCATATGTATACCCGCTGTTGCCTCGGATGCAGCACAGAGTTGGAAATGATTGGGGTATGTACCAGGCGAGACGAGACGATGGGACGAGGCAGAGCTGCATGAACAAAGACCCTACTCTGAGAGTCTGAGAGTCTGAGATATGGAGCCTGACACCCGAAGCTCGAGGGCCGCTGCCGTGCTGCCGTGGTCGGTGGTCATGGTAGCAACATTGAACTGTAATGACTCTATGAGGACATGGCGCGGGCGGGCAGCCCAAGACGGCGCTGGCACCTGGTGACTGACTCGAGGAATTGTGATTGGGCCGCCGGATAACAATTTATGTAAAAAAATCCAATCCATCTACTCCGTAATGCCCAGCAGGAACAAATGGGGAAGTGGATACGCTGCAGCCAGTCAGAGGCGTGGCATTGTCGATTGCAGCACCAAAGCATGCTTCTTCGGTCGGTCGAGCACCTACCGAGTACGTACTGCGGAGTATGCAGAAGTTGTCCCGAGCAGAGCATTGAAACGTGGAGATGGATGGAGAACCGCTGCACAGGCTGCCTGCATCGAACGCCGTAAAACGGGGAAAGTCCGTCTACGTTGTGGCTTAATCGCCGAAACATGTAACCAACCTCGCCTGTGTATTGCACATATCCTATATATGGTTCTATCCGTCCTACATCATTTATAGCCAATTGCCCGTGACCATCAGCCTCATTCGGCCACTCCATTGCTCGCGTCCCTCCTCCATTTATACGGAGACATGCTCCTGCATTTCCGGGTTGTGGTCGCCTCATTTCGGCGGCGAAAGTCCGTGACGGTTTCCATCGACCCTTCTCAAGAAGGAGTACGGGGTTGAAGGCGCCGCTGTCCACCAACCATGCGTGCCACACGTGACGCGTCTCCCAGCAGGCAGCCAATGAGGGAAGCAGTCTACATTGGTCCCCCCCACCACGGCGTACCACGCCTTCTTTTTTTTTTCGTTTCGTCCCCGCTCCCGGCTCCAGCAGCCGTTGCCAGCCAGCCATTCAACCCATTGTAAAGAAGAGCTGCGAGTTGGTGACTGGACGCTACTCCGTACAGACTTATTGACTGGGCCGGTTTTCCTCCACCTCCAAGTCGAGTCCAACCTTCCACTCCATACATCGCCAACATCGCCTCCGCGGTCGGCCCCCTCCCTCGC